CTTGGGCTACTGACGTCACAGTGGCGGCAGTAGCTACGTCAGACACAGACGTAGTGCAGCCAGGGCCATCTGTTCGCACCCGCCGGAGGCCTCAAGTAGACCCCCCTGGCCGACTCTCGGGTGATATGCGGAAACATATTCCCGTGAAAATTGTGAAGAGTGAATATTGCAAGAAGAAACACCCTTCTAGGCAGTGCCGTGTGTGTGCAGAGCACAAGAAGAAGAGTAGAACTGCCTACATGTGCAACTTGTGCATAATGCCTCTTCACAAAGGGGAATGTTTCCAGAGATATCACATGCGCAAGCACTTCTAGGAGCTCTGGTAAGTGTTCTCCAAAAATTTCAGTTCATAAAATTAATTAGGAGATATTATATTAATTTTTAAAGTGAACAGTGCACAAGTTAGGGTAGTAGGTTTAAAAACGCCGGTCCCCAGGGTGATTTAAATGTTTAAACCACCGGTCCGCAATGTGTTAAACTTAGAAAACCAGTCGTAAACTGCGAATTTCTTTAGTGCAGTATCACTGTAAACTTGCTGCAGGGCCGATAGCGTCTCTGAAGCAGATTTTCCCAATTTGCACATGAACTTGATGTTCACACTGCAACATCAAAAATTGCCAAATGACCAACACTCACGTCTAATTCAAACGGAACAGTAACAACACTGCACACTGAAACCTGTCCAGACCTGTTGTGCATGCAAGCAGACATGCTGAGCTCCCTACCACAACAGTGTGCGCGCTATCTTATCGCTCATTCTCCACCTTCAGGGGAATTCCAGGAACTTTTTGACTGCCCTATGTATGTATATAATGGTACCCCAACAGCTTAGCAAAGGTTTCTTTATGCTCTGTCCCTCCAAAAGCCTGTGTGTATACAACAGTTAACTATTGATTTTTTAGTTTGTATATTTTATTTTATATAATTATTGTTTTCTTTAGAGTCTTGAACACACTTGGCTCTGAGCAGACCAGTCGAAAACCGCTGGTCCAAAGGAAGAATTTTTAAGCATTTTTTTTTTCTGTATTTACAGCTTACTTTATGTAAAGATGCCTCTGGGAAGGTTGGTATACGAGTGCAGGATGTCAGCAAGGGCATATTTGTGTGCCTGGTCATGAAAGGTTCTCCTGCTGCCCTGGCTGGTTTACGATTCGGAGATCAGATTCTCCAGATCAATGGAACTACTGTTGCTGGGTTCACCAAGGATCAGGTCCATGCCTTGTTCCGTAAGAGTGCTGTCAATGGAATTTCTGTTGTGGTTCGAGACAGGTTCGTGTTTACTGCTTATTCATACAGTAACATCTGTTTCAAATGTATTTATTTTATTTATTTCTAATTATATTTCGTAGATCCAGTTGTTACCCAGTAGGGCTGGATATAAAATTTGTCACATACAAAGTCTTACATAAAATATCACATGCAATAAATATACAATATAAAATTTAAGATATAATATATATATAAGGTAAATAGAGCCTCATGCAAAGAGCACAAGTTGTCAGTCCAATTTTCCCATTTAGAAAAATAAATACATGTTAAGTCCATTCTCAGCCTTAACTGACTAGAACTGTCAAGTGTCAAGTTAATCAGTACAGCCACTGTTAAATCCAACCAAAGGGAGTAACTTACAATATGTTTACTCATACTATTTATTTACCCTCTCTCTTTGTAACTCTTGTATGCTCTATAAATTCATCAATAGAGTAAAAAGAATTTCTTGGCAGATATCTTAGTAAACTCTGTTTCCAGATCTGTCTGTGAAAATGTTGTGTAATGATCACATTGATCGCTTGTGGTAATGGTTTCATTAGTTGGATGAGCAACTGACACCAGTAAATGGCATGGGCAGTGCTGTGTCCCATTTCACAGATTCTGGTAGTATGCACTAAACAAGTGTACAGTTGAGATAGAGTTTAACCAAGCTTGTTTAATGAATAACTCCCAGTAGTGTTCCATTGTGAGATGACAGTTGGCCTGGTAATAGTAAATGAAAGGGTCAGAGACCATCCCTAATCTCCATTTCTCATACAGCCATGTGCAGTTTATATTAGTTTTCCTGAGCCTTGCATTCCCTAATTGTGCTCTGGAACAGAGCTCGGTACAGTCCAGCAAAGTAACTTGGTTAGTTGCGGCAGGTATCCACCTATGATCCTTAGCCTCAGGTTCTCACTCCATTCTCTCTGCACATTACCAAGGTATGTTTTCTTTCGGACTGTAGAACACTGCCTTAGCTGCTGCCATTTATCTGCCCACACTAACTTCAGCAAGAGCTCAGGAAAATTGATTTCCGTAGTGCATGGTAATGTAGCACAGAAGCTGTTAAATGTTGCCCATTTCCTTGTTACTTCACTTCTTTCATGTTCAGAATAAAAATGTATACCTTGTCATGAGCAGCAGTTGTCTTTGCAAGAAATGGGCTATATGATGGGGTACCCAAAAGAAACCGAACTAATTTTTTTGTGGGCAGAGCTTTTGTAATACCGCGTTTTGCCGCTATGAGCGCATAGAGCTAACATTCCTGAGTCGATAAGCCGACTACCGTTGCTTCAGAAGGTAAGGACTAGTTTCGGCAGAGTTTTTAGTGACAACTGTTTTGTGTGATCGTCGTTTTTGCAATGGCTGATTTTCGTGAACAGTGTGCGGCGGTGAAATTCTGCTTTTTGCTCGGGAAAAGTGGAACAGAAACTCTTGAAATGTTAAAAACGGCGTACAAGGACGATGCTATGGGGAAAACTCAAGTGTTTGAGTGGTTTTCCCGTTTCAAAAATGGTGAAATGTCAATTGATGACAAACCTCGTTCTGGTCGTCCTTCCACGGCCCGAACACATGAAAATGTTGAAAAAATTCGTGAAATCATCAAGGAAGATCGACGACGGACCATTGAAGAAATTGTGGAGCTGTCGGGAGTGACTTGGAGCTCAGCGGCCAGATTTGTGGCAGTCGGGTGACTGGTTTTTCCATCATGACAATGCCCCTGCTCACACAGCCCTGTCTGTACGACAATTCTTGACCAAAAATGGTATGACCCCTGTTCCTCACCCTCCATACTCACCCGACCTTGCCCCGTGCGACTTTTTTTTGTTTCCTCGAATGAAAAGAGACATGAAAGGAAAGCGTTTTGCTGATGTTGCTGAGGTGAAGGAAAAAACGACGGAGGCGCTGTCAAGCATCTCAAAAGATGAATTTAGGCAATGTTTTGAAAAATGGAATAAAAGACTAGACAAGTGTATTAGTGTAAGTGGAGAGTACTTTGAAGGGGATTGAAGGTTTGTGCTTAAAATTTGAATAAATAAGTTTAAAAAAAATAAGTTCGGTTTCTTTTGGGTACCCCCTCGTAAAGTCGAGACCTTATGCTAGATGCTAACATGAAAGGAAGGGCTGTCAGTTATCAAAATTCAGATTTGCCTTGGGAACATTATGACTACATCACATGACCTTCTAAGGAATGGTAAAATTCTTTGTTTCCGCCTTTTACGAATTAGGCCTTCAGGCCTGTTCCAATTTAGAATTAAGTTTTGAAACTGTGTTTCTTTCAGACAACTGTTGTCTATCCTTAGGCAGAAGATCTGCCCATTCAGGATCTCTGCTTATATAGGACAACACACACTCAGGCCTACATCGATACCTCAAGTGGGATTCAAATCCATGGTCTCAGTCATGTGCATTCAAAAACAGTATGGGCCATAGACCATGTAGCCACTGTGATCGGCTCAGGAGGCCTCTTATAGTTCTTGAATTCAGTACGCAGGATAGTGTAAGAAAAGAGTAACTTCTGTTGCGTATGGAAGAAGGAATGTGGTGGTACTATAAAATGGCAAAATAAATCAGACATTATAGAATCTTATCATTTTGCAGCTACAATTGCATTTTATATTAACAAATGAAAACTTTTTTCCACAGGCCATTTGAACGTACAGTTACCTTGCATAAGGATAGCGTTGGCCACATTGGATTTCAGTTCAAAAATGGGAAGATAATTGGGCTGGTGAAGGATTCATCTGCTGCCCGCAATGGCCTTCTTACTGAGCACCATCTGCTGGAAGTGAATGGACAGAATGTCGTTGGGATCAAGGACAAGGACATCACAGCTATAATTGAGGAAGGAGGTTCCATCATCACAGTCACTGTTATACCTTCTTTCATATATGACCACATGATCAACAAGTAAGCATTAGGAGTTTTATGTTCCTTTAATTGGTATGTTCTTTATGAGATAAAGTGACAGGGAGTTGGAGAAAACTGAAAAATGAGGAGCTTCATAACTTTTACTCTTCATCAAGTATGATTAGAATGATCGAGTTAAGGAAGATGAGATGGGCATGGCATGTAACATGATTGAAGCTGAAGAGGAATACAAATAGGATATTGGTGGGAAGGTCAGAAGGAAAGAAACCACTAGCAAGACCTAGATATAGGTGGGTGGATAATAATGAAATGGAGCTTAGTGAGATAGGATGGGGTGGTATGGACTGGATCAATCTGGCTCAAGATGGGTACCGGTGGAGGGCTATTATGAACATGGTAATGAACCTTTGAGTTCCATAAAATGGTGGGAAGTTCTTGAGTAGCTGCACAATTGGCAACTTCTCAAGAAGGGCTCAGCTCCATGAGTGAGTGAGTGAGTTCATTACCATGTTCACAACAGCCCATTGTTTGACCTTGTCCTGAGCCAGATGATTCCAGTCCACAGAGTCATACCCTGATTCCTTAAGGTTCTTGTTAACCAGTTTGTTGGTTACTTAAAATTGGTGTTGTGTTCTGTAAAAACAAAATACCTCCTTATTGCATCCACAAAGCCATGAGAAAGAATTCCATATGGCGCACCAATCACGATGCTGGAAGTGTGGGTAAGCCAGGTATCTTCTCCTCACCTTAAGTTTTGAAAGAAATCAGACTTAAAAAAAGATGTGAACATACCAAATATTAATATCAAAAAAATTTTTTTTAGTTTATTCTTCTTTGTTGAATACTCTCAGACACTCAGTAAGAATAGTCTTAAATGACTTTGAATGTAGGTTTATAAGCAAATTGTCTGGCTGCTTCATTCACCCAGAGAACATTCTGGCAGCCTTGACTGCAAACTTCTGAGAAAAATAAGAACTGCACAACAGCGCTCAAACAGCCCAGACAGATGTAAGGATATAACAAACTCAGCACTGCCTGGAAGCGAAGGGGTTTTCAGGACGTACCAAGTAGGACTAGAGTGAATCACGGAAACTTTCCAGGAATACATTATCCTTTCACCTAAATCATGATATCTCAAGTTGTATAAGTGCACAATGGTGACATTCATGATATTACATATTCTCATAATTGTCAGTGATTTTTTTTCATATGTGCTTGTGTTCCATGATCCTTTCGTGTCCTCTATCAAAAGGCTTCTTACATAATTCTGCTGTACATGTCCCCTGTCAGAAGCCTCTAGCCACCAGCATTCAAATTACTACCCCATTTTGATCATGTGCTGAGGATTATATACCTTTGAACATTAGGATGTGACATTGTGTACAGAGGAAGACTGAAGAGGTGGCAGATTCCTCCAGATTTCTGGTAATGATCTGCCAGACTGTACTTCAGCACATCTTAGAAGACAGTAATCTTCATAGTCATTACTGTGAGATCTTCAGATTTTGTATATTTGCGTTTTGCATTCTTTGACATCTCTTCTAAAGTCCATCTGCTATAAGAAGTAGGGTGTGTCATTATTATTCTAATGGCTATGTTATCATTAGAAACTTATTAGATTCTCTTTTCAGCATATATCCAGTCTTAATACTCTGAGGGGGAAATTCAGACATTCTAAACAAAGGACTTTTCTTCCATAAGGTTCCTTTGCCCAAGATATGAACTCTGATTCATAGAGTAGATGGACTTTAGTAATTAGTGTATAGCAGGGGTCTCCAAACTTTTCGAAACGCTGGCCACATTAGGTAATTCAGCACTTTCAACGGGCCAGATGAAATGAGAAATTAATAACTCTAGGTATATGAGTTTTATTGAAAGCACAGAATTTCATAAACTAAATACAAAGTACATGAGGATAAATTATCGTATATTAATGATAACAGACAGTAGCAGCAAATGCTCATATTTTCATCACAAATTATAATAAAACAATGTGAATGACGGAATTCTTTTTGCACTCTTAAAATCTGATTAAATTGAGGTTCAAATTTTGAAACGCTAATCACAAGTAGCGACTAAAAATATTCATTGGATAAATTTGCCCTGTATTTCGACTTGATGTACTTCATCTGGGAAAAACTTTTGTTCACACACATGTCATCCCAAAAATGGAGATAAATTTACAAGCAAATTTCTTTAAACCTGGAAATTGCTCAGAGTTCAGAAATTTATAAAGTTCGATCAAATTTCCTTCCCTGTATTTGTCTTTAATATGATAATTTTCCTGAAGTTCAACAATTTCCATTTGAATTTGACTTGGGACATCTGCAGCATCACAGTCAAACGGATTTTGAAACAATCTAATTTCCTGAGCACTGGAATCCAAATCAGCAAATCGCTTCCGAAATTGTTCTTTCAAATCTGAAATGACTAAATTTGCAAACGAGGAAGGAAATTCTGCTTCACCCTTTTTATGCAGCTCTGCACAGTATAGCATATGAACAAAGTTACAATTTTTCACCTGGCTTTCCAGAAGTATCAACTTTGCTCTGAATGCCTTGATAAGTGCAAATAAATCACAGACTAAGTTATTTTCACCCTGCAACTTTAAATTCAAATGGTTCATATGGTTTACCAGATCAGCAAAAAAATCTGATTTCCAAAGCCACTCGGTATCTGATAAAAGTGGTTCGTGATGGTTTTTCTTAGTAAGAAATTATCAATTTCATTCCTGAGCTGAAAGAAGCGCGAAAGAACCTTTCCATAGCTAAGCCATCGAACTGCAGTATAATATGTCAGGTCAGTAAGCTTAGAATCACATTCCTCAAGAAAAGACCAAAACTGGTGATGGTTAAGTGCATGACAGTGAATGAAATTAACGATAGAAATAACAGGTTTTAGAACAGAGCTTATATCAACGTGTTTTCCACAAAGTGCTTGTTGGTGAATAACACAGTGAAGAAACATTGGCTTTGATATTCCTGCGTCCTCACAAGCTTTTATTAATTTGGCCAACCACACCTATTTTTATACCAGACATGTTTTTTCCTCCATCAACTGTCACACACTGCAGACGGTTCCAGTCAAAATTATATTCTGTTAGTGTTTTTTTGTATTTCTTTGAAGATATCATCTCCTGTTGTTGTGCCATGCATGCTGTGAAGTGACGCTAATTCCTGTGTGACATTAAGTTCATCGTCAACGCCACGAAAAAATACTAACAGTTGAGAGGTATTACAAACATCAGTTGATTCATCAGCGTGAGAGAATACCGACTCAAACACCGTGCTTTGCCTACAATTTGCTNGAACAGAGCTTATATCAACGTGTTTTCCACAAAGTGCTTGTTGGTGAATAACACAGTGAAGAAACATTGGCTTTGATATTCCTGCGTCCTCACAAGCTTTTATTAATTTGGCCAACCACACCTATTTTTATACCAGACATGTTTTTTCCTCCATCAACTGTCACACACTGCAGACGGTTCCAGTCAAAATTATATTCTGTTAGTGTTTTTTTGTATTTCTTTGAAGATATCATCTCCTGTTGTTGTGCCATGCATGCTGTGAAGTGACGCTAATTCCTGTGTGACATTAAGTTCATCGTCAACGCCACGAAAAAATACTAACAGTTGAGAGGTATTACAAACATCAGTTGATTCATCAGCGTGAGAGAATACCGACTCAAACACTGTGCTTTGCCTACAATTTGCTGGACAGTATTATTTCCCATATTTTCAATCCGACGAGCAACAGTATTTGGTGCAAGACTTGTCATTTTAAAAAGATTAAGTTTTTCAGGGCACAACTCAGTCACTGCTTCCATCATACACTCTTTGATGATATTGCCATCAGTGAATGGATTTCCTTTTTTAGCCAACACATAAGCAACCTTATAGCTTACCAAGGTTAAGGCTTCATTTTCTGATGTTGCTTTTGTAAATAAGTCTTGCTGAGAACGCAGACGACATAATGATTCAGATTTATCTGAAAGCTGCTTTTCTTTAAATTGTGAAAACATTGAAGCATGCTTCGTGTCATTTGTCTTCTTTCAACACAGCAACAATATCTTTACATATCAGACATACAGCTTTATCCTTTGAATTCGACTGTATGAAGAAATATTTTATGCCCCATTCTTCATTAAACACATGACATTCATCATCAATTTTTCTTTCCTTTTTTCCATCCATGTTAAAACTTGAAAAGAGAATAATAATACAAAGTTAATAATAAAACGAATACTAAATAAAAATAACAGATATTCTAGTAATTTTACTATGTACACTCTTGTTAATTTAAAATGTTTAAATAAGTACATTTATATATAATTATGAAATTCTTAAAATTACGAGATCTCTGTACAAGCAAATACACTCAGCTCTCGATTATCCAGGATAATGGTGGGGATGGAAATCACAATTAATCGAAAACCCGGTTAAGACAAATTTTATTAAAAGTAGTACTGTAATACTGTACCTTCATAATACTATAGGCCTACCTGTATATAAATTTATTCAACCTCATTTTTATGTCATCTCATGGCCTATTTAACCCGTTGCCGTGGTTCGTCGTGTATGTTTCGTCAGGGATTTAAATCGTCTGGGGGGGTTCGGCGTGTATGTTTCGTCCAGCTGCACACCTATGTTATAACGCCCATAATAATTGATGGTTTTGCTGTAGATNAGCATTTTCCTTTTTCTGTTGTATACATAACACACCACGCTTCCTTTTACACCCTGACATTTTGCTAACGCACTTGAAGATCGATACAAAGAGACTAAATGAGGCGGTGTATCTGTCCTTGAAACTTTCCACAAATCCTTTGCATTCTTTCACCCCTACCCTAGAACACTGTGCTAGCATAACGGGACAAAAAATGCAGAGCTCGGTTCACACTAGTGCAAAAATAGTGTTACAACTCACCATGTGAAACAGAAGTGAATGAATATTAAACAACATATAAGCCTCAAAAAAGCCCCAGTAGCCCTGGTTATGCCGCAAACCGGTTTATCCGCCACCGGATAATCGAGAGTTGAGTGTATATGAATAAATTTATTCAATTACAAATTGAATATTATGTAACTGTAACCACTGACTTTTAATAATCACTTACTTTATCACACACATTAACTACACTACACACATTACTCTTCGTACACTTATGTACTGCGGACTGGACTCCTCTACTCCTACACATTGAGAACGTTCTGGAAACATCCATTGTCGGCTGGGAGGGGTAACCGATAGCTGTACCATGTCGGCCGTTGTAGAATGGACTAAAGTTCCGGTAGCCTTATCAACAGTCCTCGCTACCAATTCTCGGAACAGTTAGAGCAAAACTGGGCATAAGTTGCCTTTAATACAAAAATTGTAATAAGTACGACACCGGCGGTGTTGATGATCTGTTACAATTACATTGCATCACTGCAAGAAGTCTTGTGTACAAGACGGCTAGTAATGAACTGCTCGCGCTGCCTACATTGCCACGAAGTGACACTGCCGATCAAGGCCAAACAAGTACGAAGAAATACAGCGCAGTATACAGTCCATATTAGTAAAATTGTGAATAATATTAATATTAACATAATATGGAATATCAATATATTTTAAACACAATCTTAATTAATGAATTTGAAATCTATGAACAAGTATTTTTTTACCAGTACTCAATGGAAAATTAGTTCATTTGGCGCATTTCTGCACAAGTCTTTTGTGGGCCTTAGTTTGGAGACCCTTGGTGTATAGGAACATAAATGGCAGAAGTTTTGTATTTTCTTAAACAACCTTTGTGCGTGTTGTTTTCATGTGCCATCTCATTGTAACTGGTGGAAGCGATCAGCGTTGGTGAGAATTGCTGGTCACTTTTCCGATTTAACTGTATGCTAAAGATTTTACATCACCCACATTTTTATACTGTGTTTCTTTTTTCAGGATGGCCACAAGTCTGATAAAGGGATCCATGGATCATTCAATTCCAGATGTGTAATGACTGTATTTTTGACCTGTAAGGAGATACTTTGTTTGAGAAAGTTTATGGGATAAGTTCTAAAAGTATGTGGCAATGGTACACTAGTACAAATATTATTTTTCTGGACATTATCCATCATCTGTTTTCATCTAAAACACTGTCCTGTTTTTATTTACCCAATCAGTAGAGCTAGTCTGGAGCTGGTCCGGAGACAGAGTCTAGCTCTGTCGATTGGGCCCAACTGAATCGATTTTACCTGAAGATGGAGACAGAATCCAGTCTCCGAAATGTAGTTTTGAAATATAAACAAAACAGTGTTTCAGATAAAAACAGGACAATGGATAATGTCCAGAAACATAATGTTTAAAGTTAATGGGAGCTGTGTAAAGAACATAAGTATCATGCTTTCCTTTCTCCTCTTTATTTGTAATGAATGATAACAATATCTAGTTATATATATATATGTGATACTTTTAACAATATTTTTATATGTATATGCATGCAGACGGTGTGCAGGATTATACTGCAAGATAATGAGGTGAATATTACAAGTGAGAAATTAGCAGTATTGACTTCAAAATAGACTTTATTAGGCTGTTATTTGTACATTCACAAAGGCTATAAATAAGTTAAGTACATGGTAGTCTCCCAATTCTTGAGAAGCTGCTAGTTGTGCATCCACTCAAGAATTAACCAACATATTGTGGAACTCGGAAGTTCATTACTGTGTAACATCCCCCACAAAACAGTGATTGATCTACTGTTTCATTTAGATCTACCCTTACAAATTCTAAAGTCAGTGATCTTGTTAAAATTTCTGCATTTAAGATTTTCCTCAGTGCTCAAACCCGCTGCTCCTGAAACAAACCTTAAATGGGGATTTAACTTATCTTGTATTTATTGTTTATGTCAGGAATGTTTGTTTCACCTTCTCCATACCTAACATAAAGATATATATTACTGCTTTGACTTGAGGTATCCCCATAAAGAAAATAACAGGGCGTTAGATCAGGTGAGTGTGCTGCCCATGGTATGTCGCCTCGAAGCGAGATGAGCCATCCGGGGAACTTTGCCCTAAAAACTGGCTGTGTGGGCCGTGGCACCATCCTGTTGGAACCAGACGTTTCCTAGATGCATTTCTTCAAGAGCTGGTTCAAAAAAAGTTTTTAATCATGTCCACATACCACTGTGAATTGACAGTAACTGCATGATTGTCTTCTTCAAAAATATAAGGGCCAATAACTCCAACTCTCGACAATGCACACCATACTGTCACCTTATCACTGTGAAGTGGCCTGTCATGGAGCTCTCTGGGATTGTTGCCACTCCAATAGCACATATTCTGCTTGCTGACATATCTGGATAGGTGAAAATGTGCCTCATCACTAAAGAAAACAAGTGTGTCAGGGGGTAAAGTTTCCAATAACATTTCACACGCCGTTATTCAGTTCTGGAAATCACTTGGTGACAATTCTTGCACAACAACCATCTTATAGGGATGGAAATGAAGATGTTTGTGAAGAATTTGGCGCATTGAACCATTGGATATGTCTAGGGCAACTGCATGTTTGCAAGCGGAGCATCTTGGAGATCTCAAAATCGACTGTCGAGCTGCCTCCACAATTTCTGGCATAGTAATGGTCCGTTGTCGTCCTGATGATTTTTTCACCACACACCCAGTTGTCCTAAAGTTCTCTACTCACAAAACAATCGATTTCTGGTCGGGAACCAGACCTCTGGGCTTAATTCCGAAGTGAGTACGGAACGCACGCTGCACCGCCACGTAGGAATGGTTGTTCAAAAAATAGGCTTCAACAGGAAACGCACGCTGCTCACTCGTCCACCTTTTGTTTCCTACTGAGGGGTATTAGACAGAAACTTCCGCGGCCGCTGCATTCGCCGAGCCTACCCCCACTTTTCTGCGCCCCATCCTGTACCATTGTAAATGTAACAAGTTCGTGTCTGAGGTTAATGGTACTGGGATGTGTTTGGAAATAGACAGGATGGCTTACTGTTGTAATTGACATTTGCATATGAAAAACTAGATATTTTAAAAGAGAAAAAGTATAGGTATCATAACAATGTACAGGAAAACGCAAAATGTTAAAGTCATAATTGTGGTTTTAGGTGGGATCATATGACAGTTTGAGTGCAGGGACATAATAAAAGAAATTATGAATGCCTACAATCCTCTAGTTAACTCACAAAGCATTTATTTTGCCTTTGATAATCAAGAGGCTACTGTATGTGCAGTTTTAGGACAAAGGCCTGTAACAGTCTCATATTAAAAGAAGATAAGGCATTAGTTTTAATGACACTGATTAATTAGATTCTAAAGGGTTCTGGCACTGGTGTATAATACTCAGAATTACTGGGTTTTCCGACCTTGTCCATTGTCTGGTATTTTAAGAAATAGAGAACACAATGTTTTGGAAACTGGATCTGTTTCTGTCCTGAGGTGAGGGGGGAGCCATACTCTGTTCTGTTCCTTACAAAGAGGTAACCTCAGTCGCTGTGTTCACTAGTTTTTAGAATACTGGACGATGAACAAAGTCTAAAAACCCAGTAATTCTGAACGCTGATTAATGTCAGTGGTAAGTTATTACACAAGTTATCTTTAATGGTTACTCCGCATTTCACGGACAGATTAGTGTCTGTGGTAGGTTCATTCTCAAGTTATATTTAACGGTTACTCTGCATTTCAGTATAGTTTATCATATGTTGTTTAGGTTTTAGTTATTGTAAGACAGCAGTTCAAGTGATACTGTGTATTGTAACAAATAATGTGAAGTAGGGTTTTGAGGGTGATATTCCCAAAGGGACTGCAGATTCAGTTTTCGTAAAGAGCTAATTGCCAAGAAAGGCTTAACATCCATCTCACGGTGTTTACTGCCATATATGGTGGAATCATGTTTGATGTCCCTCAGTTTAAGATATTCACTCATTTAATGTTCAACTTCAGTGGTTTCAGGTCAGTTATTTCATTGATAATTTACTTCTATGTAAGATTTTCTTCAGTTTAGTGTTCAAATTGACTGCTCCCCACAAGACAAATAGGGGTTTTACTGTATATTCATGGCAGGGGCACACTCCAATATCTTCATTCCAGTCGACCCATTAGTAACCCCACAGAGTGTAGAGAATATAGGTAAAACTATTGCAGGTATTGGTTCCAAGTTGGAATGTAATTTGAAGGGAACTGTTGCTGTGTGCTGGAGAGAGTTGAGTTGAGTGGGATCTTTTGCATTCAGTACCGAATCACTATAACTTTTTGTGTGAACATCATTGAAACTACACGGATGGGCTTGCAAGCTCAAGCAGAATTAATGTGGAATTTATGCTACCAGAATGTTAAAAACGTTGTCTTTGACTGTTACAGATTTTAGAGAGAGGAAATTGGTAAACTCTTTAAAAGAGAAATGTTTTAATTTAAGAATGGATGACACAAACATTGCAGAGGCTGACAGTTCAAAGTCTTAGTCTTCTGGCTTGGCTAAAATACAATTATGGGAAATTTACTTTGAGCTTTCTTTGTGGCCCAAACTTTGAAATTATTTAGTTCCACTAAAGTTTGAACAGATTCTGACAATTGTAGATCTGCAGCTTACCAATGAATAACAAATTGAAAAAATACTCATCTAGGTAAGTGAAATTTTTAAGTGATACCACACGTTGTAAGTAACATAACGCGAGACCTTTGTTGAAGTCTTTGAGTATTAAGTTCTTTTTATCTGTAAACCATAAATTTGCCTTCACCATCCAAGTATCGTGCAGTTTTCAAATGTTCATACAGTTCTTATCTTTGACAATCCAGAACTGATTGTATGTGCATATTATATTCTTTCACATGTAGGATTATCCATTGCCATATAAATACAGTGTAACATGCTGGTGCAGGAGCACCAACATTTCATTGGGAGGCCTGAGTTATTTTTCTCCTTTCCTTTTATATTTATACTGTGTTGCAACATTGTGTCATGTGTTTTGTCTTAATGTGCCATTGTGTTCCTGTTTTTGTATTTGCAACATTTATGATTTGTAGTTGTTTTATATTTTTCACTGAACAAGCCATATTTTAAATTTGAGTACTTAGATATGTGTCTTTAAACAGTGCTCTAACTGGTCACATTTTTCTTTATTATAGGACGTAAAGATATGAGATAATAGTGTTGATTAGATACAGTATCACATGGAACACTATGTCCTATAAAATTTATTAACATGGTGTTGCACATGAGACTGTAACTAATCAGAACATAGTGAAAAGTGCAACAGGATGCTATGTTATGAAAAGAGAAGTGTTCATGGTAATAGTTTGATTAATATTGGAACAGATTATATTTTTAAGTGATTGTATGTAAAAAATTCAACATCATTTCAAGCCTTGCTTTAATAATGATGTGTTGTGTCCAGCAAAAATGTGTTGAAAATAAATATATGTAAACTTTGTGAGATTTGAAATTATCATGGCAGTGAATATAAAGATTGTCTTATGGGATGGCGACACCATGTAATCTTGCAGAAATTACCACATTTGGAGGAACTTACTGCTTCCATCTTCAGGATAGAAGAGTAAGTTACACAAGAAAATTACTGTACAGATGTAGGTTTATGACAGCTTCCTGTGAAAGGCATTTTAGTATACGACTACATGGCATCACATCCCAGAAAATAGTAATCTTCATATGGAAATTTTATTTTTACTGTCTCCCATTAGTTCAGTCTATACCAGGTCTTGGAAATGACAGTAAAGGTACCTGAACAGGCTGGCCTGGAAGTAACACTCTAGACTTGTATTCGGGAGGTGTGTGGTGTAAATCTGAGCTGGGGCACCAACTATCCTGGGTCATGGTTTTCACGGTTTTCCTCAGGCCCCCAGGAAAATCCCAGGATTGTATTTTGATTAGACCACAACTGCTTCCTTCCAAATCCTTCTGCTTCACCTTTCATTGTATATTCCAGTGCTGTATAGTTTTGATGCTGACAATATTGTTACATAACCCACGGATACTTAAGTTCTTAAATTAATGTTGGGATTACAGCTACTGAGATCTAATACTCTAGAGCGGTTAAAACAATGATGCTGACAATCCTTAAACCACTCCTACCAACAGAGTAACTTGTTATTTGTACAAGAACACAACTTTTTCAAACAGTACAATAGTTCCTTTCCTGACAAATAGTATGGGGACAGTAGCAGGGTTGAGCCTGTCTTGTTATGTGAATCAAAATCTATAGCCGCAATTCTAAGCTGATTTGTGCAACATTTAGGGAAAGACCTACCTTCCTAGGAGT